CGAGACGTGATGGTGGCTGGTGGACGCTGTTAGAGGGTGCCGGTTCGCTAGATCGTGTCTATCTTTTCCTAGTCACTGACGGACGCTCGAAACGCTGATGGTCGCTGCCGCAAAGTATGAACGCAGCCTTAACCAGAAATACAGTCATTGCTCGCGCAGGCGAAAGAGGGGGATTGGAACGAAGCCAGGATGGCCTTTTCTACAAATTAGTGCCATTCTGAGCATGCAACAACTGATGGGAAAAGCTGCATTGGCCGCACTTCAATCCACGGCCCTTCACACGCCATCTGGTTGCAGGGATAATGACTGTATGTAGTGATTTTGAGCATGGTCGAGGTTCGTGATGCGCAATTCCGCGCATGCAAGTGGGCTCATTTAGAAATTCACATTCGTGCAAGCTCGCTAGTTATGTCCTCCTGTATCACAGTCATGCTGAGAAAACGTCCCTATTCTACTTTAACCTGTAATGCAGACGATCAGGCGTACCTTTTTCAAATTCTCGGGGACGCTGCGTGACTGATATGCCCATTCCATGATCACTGCCATGACGTAGACCAGCTCGTTACGATCCAAAACGCTACCATTACACTTTTCTGAAGATGGACAAAAATAATTATGTAATGACTTGGTTGGAACCAGATTCTACTAGGGAGTCATCAAAACGCGAAGTCCATCATTCCTAGCTATGCCAACACTTCTGAGCTGAGCCTATGGAATCAGTAACTTGTATTGCCCGTGGACTGCTTTGGGTTGGGATAGAGCTGCGGTTATTTTCCTCGCGTGATTCAAGAGAACTCGGTTCGGTGTCAGCATTCATAACTATTGATTAATCTTGTGCTCCCTAGCGACCCAAAATTTTCAAGAAAGGAAATCCGGGAACTATCATATGACCTCGCGTTCGTTCCCTGCCTATGTTGCGCTTCGCCACAGTACCCCTAGCCTCAAATCAAATGTCATCTGCAGTGATCTGACCCCCAGAGATAGAATGTTGGGCTGACTTATCTCTGCACGTACCGTGCCTGCCGCGCCCCACGTTCACCGGCTTTAAACACTGCCTCCGCCCCCCCCCCATGCCTCAGGGCCGTGGCCGGAAGATACTATGCAACTATTATTTTTTGGTAGTTGAAATTAGTTGGTTGATCACGACCCCTCCTCCTGTACAGTGGTGAGAGTGGAAGAGCTATGGGACTGCGGAAAGGAGTAATTTAGTGGGGAAGGAATCAGGCGAGTTGGGATGAGCTCGCTTCTGTCTTTGGAGCGATCAGGGCCTTGTATCAAATAGGTAATTATGAATGTGCTTCAACGAACCAGTGTGAAGCTGTAAGGCATCAACTAATCCAATATTCTCCTGTAACGTATGACAATACATGTGAAGCATATGTATTAGGGAGAAGACTTCTTTTCTTCGTTCACTAACACATATCTGAAATTAATTGGACATAGACTCAAAGAATAACTACAGTCGCTATCACTAAAGTCAACTCCGGGCATGAAAGCGGGGCGTTGTTTTTGATGCGGCGCCAGTCCCTTTCCCTCCATCATTGACCCCTCCGTTCAACCTCCACGGGTCTTAAACCCCCACCACGCAGGTACGCCCTTACTGACTTCAGTGATGACGTCTGCATGCAGAATCAGGCAGCATACCGTTTTCTCGGGTTTATACAACATTGCCAACTGTAGCACTTCATCGAACTCCTGCGGTAACCGCCTCTTGTCCCTGTAAGGGATTCATCAGAGAACTCCGAATAGTTTAAAAAAGCGAAGTGCATAAAAAGGGTAAGCAGTTAGTTTGAATAAAATGTAGACAGAGAAGGACAGAGGAGGAGGAAGCCCACCGGAGAAATCAGAGCAACTACCGCTCCCGGTGGCTAGCCGTCAGAGCACACTGTACCAGTACAGTCGTTATCTGCCGATAGGGCGCCGAACGGTAGCGTGCCTCGAGGAGTAGCCAGAGCAGATGTTTCGTCAATTGTAGCGGAATCGGGATGCCGCCCTGGCTGTTCTCTCAACCGCGCCGCATCAAACGCCCACTCGTCTGCATGGATCAGCATTGCACATGGGAGGAGGACAAGGCATGCCGTACGCTGAGAGTCTACAACGCATGGAGTTGGGTGAAATCCAGTCATTGGAAGGAGGAAGATTGTCGAAATTGATCAACAGACTTTCTTTCGAACAGTTTTCCCGTTTACGGGAATCAATGCAGTCGAAAGCATGCACATCGATCGGCTTCAAACGCGCGACCGAAGCGCT